CCAACCAAACCGTTCTATGATTCTATAAAATACATTTTTTTTGATCAGAATATCAGAAATTTTGGGTGTTAATAGTATTTCTGTGAACAATAAAATATTTTGCCTTTTTTTTTAATTTAGCATGTATGGAAAATAGAGCATTATTTTCATTTCAGATATCACCATTTTATGCAAATAGGAGCAAACTTCTACTGTATGCTTACAGAGATGATTTCTGTTAAACAGATCCAGTTGGATGCATGATTGAATTCCTAAGTACAGTTTTAATTATTTTTTTTTTCTTGGTCTCAGAATCTCTTTTTCTTTTTCTATGCAGTGAATTTGCAGAGCAATTTGAGATCCAGCTGACAGGAGCCACTGGTGGAGCAGTCCTTGGGCTCCACCTAGTGAGCCAGGTCACTATTGCTAAAAGTGACTCCCCCCAGGGCATCGTCCGATTTCTCAATCAAAGTCGAATTATTCTTCCCAACCCTGATACACCCACGGCAGTATCCCTGGTGCTGGAAAGGGCTGGAAGATTTTTAGGGGAAACACAGGTGGGCCCTGGCTGTCAAAGACTGGATACTTTCCAGTGACTAGGTCAAAAATCTGCGTTTTCCTTCAAGAGCTTCTTTGTGGCTGATTTCTAGTAGGATAATTGCAGATTTTTATTAAACGTTAATTGCATATAGTTGCAGTATAACAGAAAATGTTATCACCCTTTTAATCTTCTCTTTCTCCTCCTGCTTGCTTTCTTTTATTATGGTCTTTTTTACTTTGTTTTGGACTAATTCCTGATACCATTGAAAATATGGTTAATTTCATGCACCAACACTAATTTAATTTATTTCAGTTGAATTACTTCCTAAAGCTGGTCAGATTTTTTTCAGTAAATTATTTACTAGGAGTTTTGTAGATTTTTTTTTTTTTTCTCTAAACAGGCCACTGACAAAGTGAAGGTACAAATATGAACCAAGATAGGACTTTCACAGTCTTGGCAAATGACGGAAAAATTGGCATTAAAGGCCGTTAGCTGGTCTTCTCCTAAAAGTTGCCTTAGTCTTCTTTGACTTTCTCTAGGTGTCGTTGGAGAAAACTGGAAAACAATTGAATGGCGAAAATAATAATTTTGAAGTGCTGAACATGACCTCCTCAAAAGCAATCTAATATGTGGGAAATTTTGAAAATATTCTATCTTTAATCAGACTGAAGAAGTATGAATCATAATTTGAAAGATTAAAAACTTTCATTGCAGAAAATATTTGTCATTTTCAGTCTTGATATCACATTTCACAGGGAATGGTTTTGATCATGAATACTCATTTGGGGAGCAAAACTAATTATAAAAGGGAGAGAAACAGAAACTGGCCTTTTTCTTTCCTGTTATGTGCTAAAGAAATCTCAGTTTCTCTTCTTTTCTGTAACTAATATCTAAAATTTAATAAACTGGCATTGTGGCTAACTAACACTTCAAAATTTCCATTTGTAATTTGTCATGTTTATTTTTCCAAAGGATTATATAACTTCCTACATCAAATTCATTATGAATATTTTGTATTCTGTATTAACAGTGAAGATTTAAACATAGCTGGTTACCAGATACAAGAATTTTTATGTCACTTGTGCTACTCTGTCATTTCTCCCCCTAGGAGACTATTATAATGTATCACCACTCTAAATCTGAAACTGGTGTTTTCCACAGATTAATTGGGACATCTTGGGACCCAATTCAGAAGAGATTTTACCTCCCCTGAATAGTGACATTGGTGACCCTGTGAATGGATCATTCTATTTTGGAGAAGGAGAAGGAGGTCTGAGAACTATTAATCTACAAATCTATCCTCATGAAGAAGTTGAAGTTGAGGAGATCTTCATTATTAGACTGAGTCTTATGAAAGGTGAAACAGAAATAGATCCTAAAGCAAACAGCATTACACTAATAGTAAGTCATTGTTGCTTTTCTTTCTCAGATCTCTGTTGATATTGGTATTTATCCTGCAAAGCTTTTAAAAATTAATCATAATGATTGCATAGTTTCTCATTTGACTTTTTTGTCCCTGGTACTACTTAGGCATATTGTTACAACTTCACTTCTTAAAAAAAAGGCAAAGAATCTATCAGTAAAAATTGATACATAAGCCCTGACCTGGCCCTTTTATTTTCAGATTTCTGTGATTCTCTTTAGAGAGAGCATGGATTGGGTCCTCATTTCTAAATGTCGATTTGATGTTCATCCCTTCCTGCCCTTTTCTTCTCCTTCAGCTATCAGATATATAAGAAGGGAGAGAATCTGACTATTGCAGAGCAAGAAAAATGCAAAGAATTGTGGGGGAAGGCAGAGGGAGGTGTCAAAGACAAATTATTGCTCTTGAGATACTGCAGCTAAGGAAATATTTATAAGGCTGTTATAAGAAGCCCACAAAAAAATAAATCTTTCCTAGAGATGGGATTTTTTTTCTGGTCTGTTGAATGTTGATGGAATTAGCTCCTATTTCCACAGACTCCTCAGTTTCTCCTTCAGGGACCCAGGTTTATTCCTTGGACTGGAATGTTTCACCCTGCATGCCAATGAATTGGCTTCTCAATATGCACTGATGTTACAACTCCATTGTAAGTCAGTTCACTATGAGCTCTTGTTGCAGCCAGTGATTCACTCAGGTGGATCTGGATGAGCTCTATGCCAGAGGGCTGAGTTTGCAAACTGATAGTGTTAGAAGAATTTCTGTACACTAGCCCAAGGTGCCTGAGTGTTTTCTGCTTTAACATCGAAATAGTCAGATACAACATTTGAAATAAACCTCTGTCCTTTTCTTCATTGGACAGGGGGATGGAAAACTGAAAAGGGGACATTCATACTTTCTCTGCTGTCTCTTAATATCATTTTGACTCCTGTTCAATTTAGATTGTGCTTAAACTTCTTTATGTATCACTGTAGGATTTTCTCTCAAAAGAGCAAGTTACCCATAGATTTCATATAACACTCTTGATTTATGTGCATGTGCATGTTTGTGTGTGAGCATGCATGGACTTGATATCACTCCTTTCTCATAACTTGATGGTCCTATCTGCTGGCTTTTTTTGTTATTCTCTCAGTCTCTCATCGAACTACTAATGCGCTCTTGAATCTTCTTAAGCGGAGAAAACTCAGTAGGAAGAGCTAATAGATACACGCCCTGTAGGATCTAGCAATGAAAATCTTAATGGTTTGTAGAAGAATACAACTTGCTCTACATTTCTGAATTTTTGTTTGTTTGTTTACAGATACAGAAGTTTGGTGATCCCAATGGAATTGTACAGTTTGCTCCTGAATCATTAACTGAGAATAACTACACAGAACCCTCAGCAGTGGAAGGACCACAAAGCATTACACTGTTTGTCAGACGGATTCAAGGCACTCTGGGAGACATAACGGTATTCTCACTCTTTTCCTACTAAACAGTATAATCTGAAATCATCCTCAGTATCAATGTATGGAGGAATACCTTACTCTGTGCCTTTCAATTGCTTGTTTCTCAACTTCACTTTTGAAATGTTGCATTTTAAACTAAATTTAGCAAGGGCTCAGCCCTACTGCTTGCAGTTTGGAAAGTCAGATTCAGTCTCCCCTGGTCAGGGAGAAAAAAGAAAACCAGTACTGCAATGCTTCTCTCACTTTCTGTCTCCCTGTCCCCCTGTGCTTTTGATGGGAGAACAGAAGAGACTATACTTTCTTAGTGAGCTTTCTTTGAGATCATCACAATTTACTTTTTTCCCAGCCTTTTTTAAAGGTAAGAATGAGACTTTTTTGAACCATCAGTCACATAATTGTTTTTTACCTAAAGATTTTCAGAAATAAGCATATTAACAGGTACTCATTTAATTTTTTTAAAAACTCAATTAATAAAAGCATCTGCTGTGTTTAATGAGAACTCTTCACCCCTTTCTGATGTGAGGAATCTTGGAAACAGGAAAAACAGCAAGGAAATGTTGGTGTGAAAATAGAAATAGCAAAAAAATTTTCAGAGATTCTGTATAGTTTTACATAAATCTTCTGAAGATATACAAAGGAAATCTTTACATTCATAGTACTTTAGAGGAATAACACACTATTTTGTAAGATATTCTGTACTTCTTTCTATGCATACCTAAATCAATTTTTATTTTTCTCACTTGAAACCCATCTGTTCCATATCCTATCTATACTGAATCCTGAATACAAAAGTTTCTGACTCTGTGGGTAATTTCACTTTCTTTTGTTTTGTACATTTTCTAAACTCGTTTCAGGTTTACTGGGAAATACATAGTGAATCTGACATCACAGGTGACTTTCTTGGGACAGAGGGATCTGTTGTCATTGCTGACCAGCAGAGGACAGCTGAGATAATTATCTACCTGTTACCTGATGATGTTCCAGAACTGGATGAAAACTATGTGGTGCAGCTGATTTCAGTAGAAGGAGGAGCAGATTTAGACCAAGAGAAAAGAACTTCAAAGTTCAATGTATTTGCAAATGATGATCCTTACGGAGTGTTTGCCCTGTATGCTGATCAGCAGTCAGTATTCGTAGAGAGAAATCTGGATCGGTATGTTCAGATTAATGTAACTCGGCATGCTGGGGCATTTGGAGAAGTGATCCTTGAGTACCATATCATGTCTCTTCATGAAGAAGTGCTAATTGAACCTGAGAATGAGGTGGGATACCTCATAGTAAAAGATGGTGCCAGCTTTGGAGTGAAAAGGGTGCCAATAAGCAACCAGGTCTGTATTATCCTCTTAGCTCCTATAATATCTGTTGTTTCCATTTGTGTTCATCACAATACAAATGTGCTGGAATAAGGTACTAAACTCTCAATAGTCTCCACTGTGAAGAAGCAGAAAAGAGAGTTTTAATATTATGAATTTCCTATTTATGGAATACAACTGAGTTCAAATATTACATTTTCAGATAATACTTGTAAAATTGCTGCTATACATGTATTCAAATATTCAGTGTTTCCTTCCATCATTGCTTTGTGTTACTATCAGTTCAATATTTTATTATATGTGTGCAAATATTTTCTCAGGTTTCTGTTTTGGATTGTAAATAGTGATCTGTCAGTGCTGACTCATGAAGCAGCAGATAAATTTTCCTGCAGTTCTCTGCGTTCCCTGTTTGTTTGTTATTATTATCACAGTCTTACATCCACACTTACATCCTTTTACATCTGTCTTACATCTTTTTAATCCTAAGAATTAAGATCAAGCTGAGGCCCACTGTGTTAGATACAATTTATTAAAATGGCAATAGTTGCTCTACAAACTCACGTTTCAGCAAACTGCTGGTAAATCACGTTCATAATATTGATGTTTTAGCTCTGTTTCTTTTGAGAAACATAATCAACAACACATTTGTCTTGAAAGCACTGGTTTTTGTATGCAAGTAAAACAAAATCTGCATTGTTCTGCTATTTAATTCTTTGAACTGATGGATATAATTTTTAGTGGAATTAAATTTCTACCTTTTAAATTAAATTCTTTTTCTCAAAGGCATTTATTTTACTGGGCTTGAATTTTACTGTGGAACTGACTAATGTAAGCCTGGTTAGAGGAAGTGCCAAGGATGTGCCTAAAATATTAGGAAAAGCAAAATCGACTGTTCTGCTTATTCCTGAGGAAGCTGCCAATTCACAGGTCAGTAGACTGGCTGCTGTGTAACATTTCTACCACAGAAGGAAGGTACACTTAATTACGAAAGATAGCTGCTATAAGAATTGTCTCCTTAAATTTTTCATCATTGCAGCCAATCTAATGACTGACAAGACTTTTCCAGTTATTACTTGTACTGTATATTATCTTTTCTGTGACACAAATTCTTATAGAAATGTGTTAATACAGTTTGAAAATGTCTCTTGGTCTATAAAATGTAAATAGTGTAAATATTATGGTTAAATTGTACTTTTGTTTACATGAAATGGGAGCTCTGAGACTTAAAGGAAAATAACTAATTCTAGGCAATGTTATCCCTTTAAGTATAGCAGCCCCAGAGTAGATAACAGCATGTATGCAGTATTATATGCAAAAATAGATGGAGGTCATGCTGGGGTTTAATGCAGTTGACAGTATATTTGGCTAATCATTGAGTGGGAAATTTTCCATTTGTCTGCTTTGTATGAGAGCAAGGAAAAAGAATTTGCCTGTTCTAGTATGGTATATGTGCTACAGTTCCCTTTTTGTGTGTCAGGCAAAGACATCAGCATGATGAGTTTTTATCTCTTAAATTTTGTTGAAGTTCTTATTTAACAATTTTAGTTGTCTTGAAGCACTGTTCTGTCTTTTAATTTGTAATTGAACTTAATTCAAATAACCTTTCTGTAAACATTGTTTACTACCATGTATCCATTTATCATTGCTTTTAGAATGTGGGAATTATCGTTTCAGCCCCATTTGCAACTCAAAGAAAAAGTAGATCATACTAGCAAGAATAATTTTGTGAGCAATGTCATGTGGCAACAACTTACTTGCTTTTCACTGGATACATGATTAATGATTTATTTTAGACCTACGTGTATATACATAATACCACAGATATTGCCTGTGAGCATTAAGAGCAAGTTAGTTTGTTTTCCTTTTAAACAACAGACACAGAATGCTATATTCAGTCTTTTTAGTACTGAAATGTCAGTCATACTGTTTCCTTTTTCCTGAGATCTAATTCTGAGAAATCCAAGATGTAGAAGTATTGAAAGAGTTGTGAAGGAAATATGTATATATATACACACACGCATCTATCTATATGCATGCATAGTTATTGTAAAATGCCTGTTTTATAAAATATAGTACACTTTCACATATGTTATTGACCATTTTTATTCAACTTTGTTTAATAAAATCTACTATGTTTCCACAGGTTGGCTTTGAATCTGTGGTTTTACGTCTTACAGACATTGTAGCAGGGACTGGCCAGGCTGTCATAACCAGAAAAGGAGTTTACGGCTCTGTAATAGTTAGCTGGATTTCAGGATACCCACCAGACCTAATCACTGACTTTGCTCAGCCAGGCAATATTACTCCTCCATTTGGTAAGTACTTGTCTGAGGAAACAGATACGAAAATGGCATAAGTGATGATACCACCTTTTAGTTATTTGTACCTCTACATTATTCTTCTATTAATGATAAGTCATTAGAATGAAATTGTATGGTCTGATTTTTATCTGTAAGGATTATGTTTATTTTATAAGCAAAAAAAGAACCAAGCTTCATAGATACTTGGGAGTGTCTGGGAGGTAGACACAATGCTGTGCCCCTGAAGGACGGCTTTATATAGGAAAGACCCTTACCATGCAGATTTCTTTTTCCTAAATAGAGTGGAATTGTGATTAAAGTCCCTATCTCAGCATGTTCTCAGACAAAAAGAGGATTCCTATTTAGTGATTTTGATTTGTGCCCTCTCTTTTCTTTCAGGTACTGTTGTATTTTCCTCTGGTGAGCAAAGTAAAGTAATTCCATTTCAGGCTACTCCAAGCCTAAATAAACATGAGTCATTTGCCATCACTTTAACAGCAGTGCACAGCAATGTGTCTGGTGGGGCTCGCCTGAGGTAAGGACATTACTTACACTTCTGAGTTGCACAGATGCTGTAAGAAGTATGATCTGTGTACAGGCATACACCTTATACAAATTCCTATTATAGTATAGGTAGCTATCAAGTTGTAGTACCTTCTTTGATAAATTTGTATGTCTTGTCTCAGATGGAAACAATTGTCAGTACTGCAGATCTGACCTGATCAGAACTGAGGCTTTTCTCCAATTCCAGTCAATTTCATATCACTGGGATCCAAGGTGCCTAGAGTGTGTCTAGAATGATGGAGACAGTTAAGAAAATGAAGAAGCAAGATTGACAGTTTTAGCCAGGAAGCTGAAGAATGAAAGCAGCTCTTAACAGTTTTCATTAGTGTCCCTAAAAATCCGTATTTAGAAGGTCTTAGATAGCAAACATTATTTAAAATAAATAAGATGAAACAAGAAATGCTCTGAAAACACCTAATTTATATAACTCCCCCTTTTTATTATTAAAACCGAAACCATTACATTTAATGTAGTTTTCCATCTCAGGTAAGTTGTTATCTACTCTTCAAGCTATTTTCTTTTCATTCTTCCTTGTTCATTGCTAGCTAAAAGTGGTATAAAAAGAATGGACGCAGAATAACACTGCGTATGGAGAAAGGTATTGGCTTCACCATATCACGATTATACTGGCAAATGTGAAGGAAGTAAGGATTGAACTGGATGGCTAAACTCCTGAGACTGACCCCTTCTCCTAGGCTTGTCTGTCCTGTGGACTGGTGTCCTCATAGCACCTATTTACCGTGTGAGTCAAATACCTTGAGTATACGAGAATGACCTTTCCTAGAAAACTTAAGGCTACATCCCACAAGAGGTAAAGCTGACAATTACACTGGAGAGTTTTTGGCTCCCTTAGTGGGAAAGGGTCTAGTTTGTTAACCAAAATCACTCACTGTAATTGTAGTGCCTTTGGTAACCTCTGGCACAGAATAATGAGTCAGTTCTAGAGTTAATTGTAAGACCCAAGGTTTAGCAAAGAGTAGTACTCTCTATGCTGATTTTCTAATAAGAAGGGGCTATATTTAATATGAACAAAGTAGAGCTTAAATTTATATTGATAATAGGGCTTAGATCTGGAAAAAATTACTGTGACTAATGTTGTAAGGGGGCAGTTAGTATTTCAAAGCTCCACTATAAGTTTTAAAAAACCCTTCCCTTCCTTCTCTAGCTTCCTGACAAAAACTGTAGATCTGCTAGCATCTATCTACTCCACTGTTTTCCCTTGGTACAGGAAGTTTGTTCAATAGTTAAAACTGGTATTACTTGGAGTGGCTGTATTGTAATGTATCTCCCTGCATTGTGTCCACAATAGAAAGACATCATAATTTCCTTTGCCTCTCCATTTTCTCAGGAAGACCTTATTTTTTTAATCCTTTACTCTGTATCCTGTGCTGTCTCAGGATGCGTTAAGCCCGTGGAGGGCTGTTTGATCCAATCATTGCAAAAACATTTTTTCAGGGAACCTCTTTACATCTTGCTTTGTGTCGTTGCTATTTCTACCCTCTACTGTTACACATTTTTTAAATCCACTTTCTTACAGCCATCATTGATTGTTCACTGGAAATCATTCTGCTTGGATGTTTTACTTTTCATACTTCATATTTGCTCTCTCAGCTTTGATCTGTTTTCTGTTTCAGATCAGGGTTTACAATAGCTGAAATTGAGCCAATGGGGATCTTTCAATTTGCTCTTAACTCAAGATACGTTTCAGTTGAAGAAGATGTTCAGACAGTCACACTATATGTCCAAAGATTGTTTGGTTTTCAAAGTAATCTCACTAAACTGACATATCAGACCATTCCAGAAAGTGCCAAACCACTAGAGGACTTTATACCCATCTACAACGGAGAGCTTATGTTTCTACGTTTTCAGACAAGTGCTGTGATAGAAATATCAATAATTGATGACAGTGTGTCTGAAATGGAGGAATATTTTTTTGTAAATCTGACTGCTGTGGAAATTTTGGATGTTCAACCTGTGAATCCTGCATGGAGTCCACGTTTGAATACAGCTTTCAGTGTTGCAACAGTTAATATCCTGGCTAATGATATTCTTCATGGAATGCTGAGTTTGGGGCCAGAGTTTATTTATGTTGAAGAAGATGCAAACAACAGTACCCCCAACACAGTGATACTTCATATCAGAAGGACCAAGGGTTTTACTGGGGATATTGAAGTAACTGTTAAAACCTTTGGGGGAGTGGGTGCACAGAGTGGAGTAGATTCATATGTTTTTGGAAATCTCTATGGAAAATCAAACTTCACATGGGCAATGGAGGGAGAAGATTTTGAGGAACAGTCAATCTCTCTGACTTTGCTGGATGGACAAAGAGAGAGCAAGGTGTCCATAGAAATTTTTGATGATGATGAGCCTGAAGGACAGGAATTGTTTTATGTTTTCCTCTCAAATCCTGAATATGGAGCTCAGATTGTGGAAGGAAAGGATGAATATGGATTTGCTGCTTTTGCAACAGTAATTATTGCAGGTATTATTTTTTCCGCCAGAAAATTAGTAAATACATCTGAATTAAATAACAGTAAATAACTGTATGTTCTCATGGAAATATTCATGTAAAGACTGGAATTCTATTTGATAATAAGCAAGGTATTCTATTCCCAAATCTCGAGTTTTCCAGATTAGAGGAAGCATCTAATGCACGAAGCTCCCCATGCATGCCTTAGCAACATAGCTTAAAATACATTTGTAGATGCTGCTTATTGCTGTTCTTGACCTGTTTTACTTCATAAAGGGAAAAGGCCAAGCCTGAGTGTTTTTCTTGCAGATGTAATAGCGTTGCAGGCTTTTTTGTTTTTCTTTGTCATTTTGTCACTTTTGCATTGTATGGAGTTTGTACAAAGTATAAAAAACCAGTTTCCGTTTTTGTTCTTTGATACTATGCAGTTCATATCTGCAGTGTAGTCATCCTCTGCTTCTGCAGATGGAGGATAGGAATCGGCTTACATAGACACAAGGGAAAAATTTTTCTTTCAGTCACTGCATGCTACTGTGAGAAAGTGATGTCAAATCTCCAATTTCCCTTAGCTTTTAGATATCTATCAAACTTAGCATTTGAATATAAAACAAGTTTAACCGCAATATAGATTAAGTTTTAGAAACAAGTTGGGAATGCAACAGTTTAGGCTAATCAAGAAAGTTATATGTAAGATCCAACATTTACTGGAAGTTTTGTGTGTTTAGATAGTCTTAACAAAACAAGGTCGATTTTGAGAACCAGAGTTAAACTGTGCTGTTGGATGAGTGTATGCAGCAACCAAGACCATATGCAAGTACAGAGCGTATAAAACATATCTTCCCTTCATGTGCACTGTCTCTAGAATTCACTGTGCAAATAACCAGTTGCCTGGATGTGCAAGTTAAGCAAAGAAGTATGTGCATAGGCACTGGCTAGAATTTGAACTTGTATTGAATCCCACGGAAGTGGTATACCTGCTCTAGAATTACACTCTGAGTACAATAAGTACATAAAGTAAGATCAAGAGACAATTTACATTAAGGAGAAGGGTGAAAGCATGTATCTGTATTTAAGTGTATAGATAGAAAGATACCACAGGTTAAATATTTGTGCATGTGCATAAGCAAACATGCCATTTCTGTTAATCTTCAGTATATATATTGACATTTGATAAACACTGGGTCAGAATTAGATTGCTTTTTCAGTTGCAGAGTAAAGTCATGATTACCTGTAAGGAGAAATCCTTTAGAAGCAAGATTTAATGGGACACTGTGAAGACATTAGTTTCCCCTCATTAACTCTGTTTTTTTTCCCTTCACTGCTGTTTTGCTGAAGTTATTTACATTCCCGTGAGAACAATGCAGTATTTCGCAGCTCCTTAGTTCCATACACTGAATTAAAGATGCAGGAGAAAAGTTTTTGTAATAATTTGGGAAGATGAATAGGTTCAACAACGTTATAGGCCGGATGAATAAGCAAGCTAAAGTCATGTCCTCAGAAGCCCATCTTTATCCCATAACCTACTATGGCAATGCTGTCCACGTAGGGGCACACTGAGGCCAATTTCTGTTTAGAAAGAATATGTTTTAGGTTATGGTGAACATAAAATAATATAGCTCAAGTGATATCTCATAAGGGCATTATAAGCAAGGGTTTTGACACCGTTCTGGACTACTGTAACATCTGGTCTCTTGAAGTCAAGGGACACAGAATTCAGTCAGTTTGCTGAATGCTGCTGAAAATACAAGCTTATGTGCATAGATGGTGCCAGGATTCACATAAGGAATTTACTTTCAAAATTTCTTATTCTGCTGGTTAATATAAAATTTGGAAATGACTACATTTGAAGTTCTAGATAAGTATGGAGTGTAAATTAAGAACAGAAATATTAAAAGAAATTTTCTTGAGGCATCACCAAATGGTTCGTTACAGCATGGATTTGATACCTAGTTTTTTATTTTTTTTTTAGCAGTTATCCATATGGAAATTATAATTTAGTCTCAGCTTAACTTTCTTACTAATTACTTTCATGGACTGGTTCCTATATAGGAAGTGATCTCCAGAATGGCATTTTGGGATTCATTCCAGAAGTACAAAGTGGTCTTGTACTTGATGAAGACTCAGAAAACAGAGAGGTGATGCTGATCGTCTCAAGGCAACCAAACAGGTGCAGGCAACAGCTAATCAAAGTGCATTCCCCACACTCTGTAATATGCTGTGTTGAATCACAGAAGCTGCTGTTACTGTTTATCATAGAGTTTTATAATAAAACTTTGCCTTTCAACTCCTTTAATAACTTCCCAGAATTTGGCAAGTGCACTTTTAAGTTGTGAATGTGATTAGGTCTGTCACTGTACTGGTATAAAGCAGAAACGAAAAAACAAAATATTTTCCAACTTATACCATAAGGCAGCAAATGTGAAAGTTTTGCTAAAGATAAAATATTTGCAGTGCTAAAGGTGTAACTCAAATGCTTATCAAGTGTAATATAAGTAGGTATGAATACTAAAATGAGCAAGTAGTTACTTAAGTGTCAGTACTATGCTTATGTCTTCATTCACACAGATACTGGGGTTTTTTTAATTAACATGTATGTATGTTGCATATTTATGTGTACTTTAAGCAAATATGCTCAAGTACTCTAAGTTCCTTAAACTTACAGGAAAGATAAATTCTGCCTGGCTTTCCAGGCAAATGGATACTGTAGTATTAAGGAAAGTACTTGGGCACATACTTGTCTTCCAAGCACCAATGTCTCATATTCATCTGATCTCATGTTTTCTGAAATAAAAAATGACAAGAATCTAGGTGCCCTAAATGCTTTATTTTCTTCCTGTGTTAGTTTTTGATGATCTGAACAGATTTTAGGGGAAGGAATTTAAATAAAAAGAGAGAATTTTTCATCTTAAAGCAATTTTCCCCAGTGGTAAGTTTTGAATAATAAGATGAAACGTGTGATACCTCTGTGGTTTGTGTTTCCTAAAGCAGCAGTGCTCTCAGTACATATATACTCTTTTGATTTGCTTATAGGGCTTTTGAAGATGTGAAGATCTTTTGGCGTGTGACCTTTAATAAAACAGCTGTTGTCCTTCTGAAGGATGGCATGAACTTGGAGAATGAACTTGTATCTGTGCTGGGAGCCACTACCTGCATGGCAGGTCAAACAATGTGCAACATCTCCATTGAAATAAAACCTGATAATGTAAGTAATTATTGCTTGTTTTTGTACAGCACTATGACGTTGAATTGCAATTTATCAAGATGAAAAAATCTCTCTGATCCAGAGGAACCGATAAGCAGTTTGAAGATGGTAACTTGATATCTGCTTGGTTCCTCTGGAAACATAATGTTTATTTACAGGCTTGTAGTACCTCCATTGTGACTGGTAAAAATTTGGGAAGGAGATGAATATTTAGTTTGAAGAGTAAATTGCAGAGCTCAGATTTTTATAGAACAATAAGAAAAAAAGAATGGAGTTACTTCAGTGAGATGCGTATTCATATACTGGACTCTTATCCTTCACACAGTAGATTTTTCATCTATCAAAGCACTTCTTAGAGTGGTTTATGGAAAGCATATCCTGTAAGTAATAGCATCTCATCCAACAAAAAACTTATATTGCAACTTGTACATAATTTTACATGCCTAAATGTAGCACAATGATCTGTGAAAACTACTCAGTCATAAAGCTGCGTCAGTATCTCTGAGTGTCTAAAAGTCTGTCAGTGTGCACATCCAGTGTGTGAGTGGCGAAGTTCAGTTTAGCAGCCATCATCCACTAAACCCATTTGGCATTTGTTGGTTGAGTATGCCTAAGCCTAAGACCCTTAAGAGGCCCAGCTGGCACTCAGGAATGCATACATCATTGAATTAACACAAAGTGCAGCAGCATTCAGTCATTTTTATTGAAAAGAGAAGGCAAAAAAAAATTTTTGTGTGAACATCTAGTGGTTAGAGCAGTCCCTTAAGAAAGGAATGATTAATGTTTGCCATTTTTTCCTAGTGAAGAGTTTGAAACTTTCCAAGGAATTATCCTAACAGCCAGGCTAGTGACAAAGCTGAGGTCTGGGGAATGGAAAAGGACAAGATGGGAAGGTTTCCACAGTTTTTCTGACTACATTCTAGAAAATAACACAGGATGTAGGATGTGGGAAATAGTGATTTCCCACTAGGGAATAGGGTGTATTCTCTTAGTTCAGTAAGAGGGCCATTTTCCTTCTTCATCTTCAGAGCCAATGAATAAAATATATACATGAATGGGGCACAGCCTGCCTCACTGAGTAAGCTGGGATTTTGAACCTGTTTAGGGCAAAGGAGTGATATCATTATTTAATGACAGCAGTGCAGCAGCTGCAGCGACATGCAGTTGTACCACATGAAGCACAAGCGTGTGCTGCTCTAACAGGTGCTAATGGAAGGCTAAAGGTCCCTATGGCATTCCAGTAAATTTGTGCCAGTCATCAATTAGTCAAGATCATTCCATTTAAAGAATTACTTAACAGCAACTCAATTAAAAATATATGGTATTTAAACCCCAAATATTTCCTAATTCTTCTTCCAGTTCTTCTTCCATCAGATAGCTTATGAATTAGTAACAAATACATTACAAAATGATGAAGTAATAAATGCATTCAATAAATATTTTACATTTTTTTATGGCATATGCATGACATTCTAGCTTTTGCAGGTTTTTACTTAGTCAGCTGTACTGACTTCGTTAGCTAAGAGCTGAATCCTGCTCTCCTAGAATTAAAGTAGAATTTCCAAAAATCCAGAGCTGAAACAAAAAGCTATATTTACTAACAAAAGAATTGTCTTCGATGATCATAATTTTTTTGTAACACTATTGTCTTGTAAAGAACTAGGGGTTTTTTGCAAGTTCACTGCTTCATGAGTGCATGTAATAGGTACAAATAACATATTTGCAATGATTTCTTGAATCTTAGTGATGACATGTCTATTTCTAAACATGTTATGATTGTATTGTAGGTACAAAATCAAACATGGAGCAGAGTGTCATAATTTAATACTGCTACGTTAGTTTCAATAAACAGCATTACGAATGTAGTATTGACTAGGCTAATTCTTTGACATATGAACACTAAAACTCAATAGCCTGTATTTCCACACTGACAGATTTTTCTATATCTTAAGCCTTACAAAAGTCTGTAAGATAGTATCTCTAAACTTTGGGATTTTCAATAAATTCAGTTAAGTGTTCAAGTCTACTGAGATCTGCTTGTAAAAACATGCATAGTATTTAAACAGTAAGGCTGTATGTAAAATATTTTTCAGAACTTTACCAGAATTCAGTACTTGAATACAGTCAAGTTAATTAATTGTGGTTTCAAAACTGCGTATCTCTGTGCAGTGTTTCCTCAGGTGAGTAGGTGTGTACATGCCTTTTTGTAAGGCAAAAAGAAAATGAAAAAGCAAATTCTTCACAAGATGTACATCTATGTAAATCCATAATCTGGAATGTGGAGCTCTTGGAGAGTTTACTGTCATGTATTATGGCAAATTTACAGCCACAATACACGAAAATACATAGCTACTTTATAGCAATAGGTTCAATGTGAAAACCTGACATTTCATTATTGTACATGACAGTGGTGTCTGTTGTAATATTATTTTTAGGATATACTTCATTGTACTTATTGCACGTTTCAGGAAGCATGCTTGTGATAAGTGTTAGTACAAGTAACCCATTGTGTGTACAAAATAATATATCTATTTTTAAAAAGTGAAAGTAATTAGTAGGTCTTATAATGATATGAAAATCATCCCTCATTTACAGGTACCTGAATTTGAAACATATTTTTTTGTTGAGCTGTATGGTGTAAGCACAGGAGCTGCATTGAACAGCAGTGCCAGATTTGCTTTTATAACAGTCCTTGAAAGTGATGCTCCTCATGGTTTAGTATATTTTGCTGTGGGATCTCGTTTTGCTGTGGCTCATAAGAGGACAACTTTAATCAGTCTGCAAGTGCTTAGAGATTCTAGTACATCAGTAACCACAATGGTTAGCTACAGCATGCAGGTAAGACTTTTATTATTATTTTTATTATTTAACTTAAATTTATCATTATTTTTAACATTAAATCATTGTTCATTCTCTAATGTAAATGTGACTGTAATTAGCATTTTTTCAGGAAACAGTCAAACATTTGCTGGGCCTATATGGTCTAGTTTCTTTGATTTTCCATTAGCAAAAAGAACTTGTTCTCATTGCATTGTCAAGGATGCTTTTGGTCGTAGTACCTTCCAATAGCATCAAAGACTATGGTCAGTAAGGCATTAAATACATTTCTTTTTTTTGGTTCTAAGGTTCTTATGGGACTCTAGTTTTCAAGGCTTCTTTCTCTGAAATTCAGTTTTTATCATGATGGGTATGACTACAAGATTCAAATACCAACACAGTTGCTGTGTTAGGTCACGAATTTATTAATACACAGAGCACACTTAGGAAAAGCGAGAGAGAACTTTTAACAAATTTCATTCCATTTTCTTGAAGTACTAAACTTGAAAATTGTTCTTCCAATTGAAAACCTCATGTGCCAAAGTCAACTTTATCATCCCCATTCATTTCTGTTATATTTACATCTCTGACACCAGACTCTTCTAACTGTTGACCCTTTTATCTCTAAATGAGTACCTCATTATTATTAACGGATGCTGAAGATTCTCCTTTAGCAGAAGTAACACAGCTGCAAAACCATGATTCCTTCCACTTCCTTATAGTTGTGAATCCAACATCAGGGCACAGGCTGCAAAATGGGTTCCTCCAAGTTTGCCATCGCATTGGAATACTGCTTAGCCTGATCTACTTTGAACATGTGGGATTTTATGCCTAAAAGCATTGTTTCGGGGGAGGGTTATTGTAACGAAGTGTTGTGTGACCAGTGTACTCACTCTTTGTAATAAAAGGTGTTGTATTCTATTGATATATTGCATACATACCTGTTTTAACTGCATAGGTTTACCTGGTGTTTCCATGCATTTATTATACAGTAGCTGGCCAGTGTTTTAATTAGATTGTGTGATAACAAATTTCTACATTCTTTCCAGCCAAGAGTTCATTATAATTTAGCTGTTAAATGGAGAAGAAATTGCTACTGTCCAGTGTATATTTCAGCTAAAATATAGGGGGCAATTCCTTATCCATTTATATTTTTCATATAACAATCCTTCTTTGGACATTTTATGTTTTGAGGGTCCATGGCCAAGTACCAAAGTATTGGTACTATTGGTACCTGTAAAATAAGAGACAGACAGGAAGCATGAGGTGCTAACTGGAAACAGATATTTGTCTCATTCCTACAAATGTTTCATAAACATTGTTCTTGTCGCTAGTGCTTTCATTACCACTTATTTCTCTGTGTCCTAATTCTCAGTTGGAAGGGATAAACAAAAGGAAACTTCTCACTGGAATTTGCACAGATGATGTAATCATGTTCTAGAGCAATTTTGAACAGATACACACTGCATTGATTTACCAAGTTCTCCTATGAACTCAAAAAATGTCTGATTTATTCCATAAGTAAACTTTAATAATTACAGCTAAATGTTTTCAAAAGGAGTCCAGTATTTCACAAATAAAAATCCTTGTTTTTTACAGTTGGAGACCTTTACTCTAGAGTCAGTATACAATATGTACTAATTAAATGAAGAGATACTCTTGAAAAATCATACATTTGAATAATAGCCCAGAATGTTAGTTTCCACTTAAGGAAAGTTTATTATATTACCAGATGTAATATCAAGGTTATGGCAACTAACAAAAAGAGCAAGAATTTGAAGAATGAAACAGTATCTGCAAACCTCATGGAAGGTAAAAATAGTGTTACTTCACAAGGAAATGAGGCCATATAGCATTCCTAGATAAGTTCATCTGTCTGCCTTGCATATGTATTCTATAGCGTTTGCTTTGCCTTTGGACCTAAATGGATTGTTCTTTTAAATACATATACTGGGACTGAAAATATCATGAACTGATATTAGTTTGAGCACAGATTTCCAAAACCTTTACTTTGCTTTTGTTTAGTTTTTATGTATCTGTAGTGCCTGTCTGTACCCTGAACTGACGGACTTCATGCTGCAGATATAAACTTAACATCAACTGCTCCAGAATTCATCTTATGGATGTGTGAACGTTTCTGTAATTTCTATTCAGTCAGAAAAAATTTGTGATTTTTGTTCTGGAAAAGAAAGAGAGGGATCCTGTTTACTATTGACAGTATAATTAATTCTTTCTGTAGGTTGTTACTAACTGCAAGTGACAGATTACTATTTCAGGAAGATATTTCATTTAATGTAATTGTTATATCGTTCTTCAGTGCATTTTGAAAGAGGACTTCTTTTTTACACATTTCAATTTTACCCTTTTAAAGTATGTGTGTTCTACAGCAGCTGGTTTTGAACAGTTCTATCATGAAGTTACCTAAAACTCTTTTGGTTTGTTTTAAGGAGCTACAAAAAGCTGAACCTGTTGGTCGGACCTTCATATCTCCAGCTGTGGCAGGACAAGATTTTGCCAGATCTGAAGGTTTATTGACTTTTGAACCTGGACAGAGAAATACATTTCTGGATGTGACCTTGACTCCAAAAACAGGATCTTTAAACCCATTTCCTAAACGTTTCCAGGTTGTACTTTCTAATCCCACAGGCGGTGCCAGAGTGGATGACGTGTATGGTATTGCTAATGTCACCATTGTCTCAGATTTGGACTCCTTGCCAGTTTGGGGGCTGATTGATCAACTGCATCAGCCTCTTGATGACACCATTTTACACAGAGTCCTCCAGAATCTGAATGTCAAAGTGGCTACAGAAACTACAGAAGAGCAGCTTACTGCTGTAATGCTTATAATAAATAAGGTAAACCTTTCCTGATCTTTCTTGAACGATCAATTACCTTAATAAGAGTATAACAACACGTTGACCTGTGATGACATCAAGGTTAACATACACAGCAGTAACTCAGAGGCACAGGCTGCAAAGGTAAAAATAGAAATTGTGAGGTCCTACAGTCAAGGAAGAAGTTCCTCTGCCACTAGTTAGGATGGTGGCAGGAAATCAAAAATCAAATAGGTTGAAAAGAGCAACCAGTATTAGTTTTGCATACGTACCTATAGCTCAAGATTTTCTGCTATGCAAAATTTTCCCTTTGGTGCTGTATTTCCATAGACCTTGTTATGGTTTCTGGATGCTCAGGCCACATCTTTGCTGGTTTTAACCCTGGCACAAGACAGTGAGGCCCCAGGTTTGCTCATATCTTCACAGCTGACTGCAGTCAGCACACAAGCAAATCCTACCAGGGCCAGCTGGACTCTGCTGTGCTATTAACCAGGCATGTAGCTTGTGTTTTTTCCTGCAATAGCTTTGAGAATCAGGTTGGCAGGGTAGCTGAGCACTTCAGCATTGCACTAAGTTCTGTGAAAACCCTACGAGTAGTTTTATGGCTTTCTGGCTCTCCTGAACTTGTGGAATAATGCACAGGAGCTGGAAAATGTTTAAATACCTAAACACAAAGCAGTATAACAATATTCATGAACAACAGTTCATTTTTGATAGTTGCCATTTTGACACAGAAAAGAGAGAAAGTAATGTCAGAAATTCTCAGGACTCAATAATCTTTGATTTGCAAAAGAATGAAAAATGCCACATAGTTTCTTTAATAGTCAAATCCATGTTGATAAACATATCTTTATGCAGTTTTGACATAGACTATGTCTCACGCCTTGGCAGCAGTGATCGGAAGGTGGAAAAAATATTCTGAACTTTCAGAATGAAGGTTGGAGCGAAAATAGAGGTCTTACTAAACCGTTCAACATGAGGAAATGTTATAAGCAGATTTCTGTGCATAACATATTGCTTGATTTCTTCTCCTTTCATTAGGTTACAGATGTAGGTGAAAAACAGTTACTCACTGATAAAAGTAGAAGTCTTTTCTATGAGATACTCTGTGCTCTGGCTAGCCCGAAACGCGAGGACACACGAGGATATAGCCTGCTTGCTGAGGCAACAGAGAAGTTTGCTTTTTCCCTTTCAACTGGGATAATGTGTGGATCACCAGGAGAAAGGTTAGTAAACTTGAATTCGTTATATGTTTTGGAAATACATGACAACTTACCAAATAGTGAAAATTGAAATGACATTTTTAGAAAAGGGGCTGTCTGTCATCTAGTATGTTGCATATATGAAGATGTGTTGCACTCTGTCACAATCTTACAAAGTACTTTATTGGCACTATGAGATGGTGTCACAAATAGTTGGTACACAGATACAGGATAGCTGTGGGAGTAGGAGTCAGGAGATCTGGGATGTATTGACTCACCTTTAGCTCAAATATTGCCTGGAAAAGTATTCATTAATCTTGCTAAGAAAATAATATGTAGTTGTATGATGGAGACCTATGTTCTAAGACTTAAATGAGAGTAAGTAATGCAAATTTTCTACTGGCATTTTGTAATTTCTGTGTGCTTGGTTTTGCTCACTTGAACATTATTTAAAATTTTTTTAAAGCTACTTGTAGTTTTTACATGAAGTTCAAATTTCTGGTTTTGTCTGCAAGTGCATAATATCCTGTGGTCAGGCTAATGGGCAGGGGAAATAGGTGACTGCAGAAAGAGATGACACTCATAATTATGAGACAGATGGTTTTAAACAGTGGGTTTCTCCCAGTGTAAATCAATTAAACAACTGATAGTTGAATTTAGGAAAAAAAATAAACAACTTTTTTCCCCTCAGAAAATCAGCATAGTTTAGATTTCTATCTCAATGTCTTTTGGGGATGTAATTTTTCTTGCCGTTTCCTAAGCTGTAGGGGGTATGAGGCCCATGTCAGCCAAAAGACAGTAAATGGCATAAATACCAACACTATCCTGAACAATATCCAGAGCTTGAAAGTTCAAATTCTTTATTCCAAGTTTTTTTGCATCATCCGTTGGGAAAAAGAGGTAAAGCAAGGTCATCCATTTAAATGCCTCTCCTTTTTGCAGACTCATCTCTACATCAAGTTATAAAGATGAGTATTATGATAACCTAGTTTATCATGGAGCGGTTTTGATTGCAGATCATAGTGAGCAAAACCCAAAGCAGAAATGGAGAAGCTGAAATACATAATAATTTAGCCCCTCTTTTTGTTTTCACAGACACTGAAACTATCTGTCATTTAAATGTCATAAAGCCTAAAAATGATGGATGAATAAAGGATTAATTACAAATACATTTTAGAGTCATTCTGTGAAGAATAGTGAAGCTCAGTTCCACTTACCAGCCTTGTTGCTTTTCCATTTCAACAGAGGTAAAAATATTCTTGACAGCTGCCCGTACATTGCAATAATGGCTCACAACTGGTTTCCTCAACAAATCAATGGACACAGATTTGATGGAAAAGATGGGGATTCTATTCAAATACCTGAACATTTACTAGAGGTCTCTGTTGTATTATCGCCTCCTCAAGAAGAGAATTGTGAATCTGTACAGTTCACAGAATACAGCAGTCAGCAGTGGTTCCTTACTGGAGATAAAGAGCTTGCCTTGAAGAACAAGGTTTGAAGATAATGCAATTTTTTTTTTCAAGAAATTAGTTTAATTTAGATATTGCTCAAACCATCTTAAATGTATTTAAAATAACATGAACATTTTTGTCTGTGTGTCTGAATGAAATCAGCACTGATTGTTGAATTTTAATATTAAATTTGTATTTATGTTGTATGTGTTGTTTCAGGTTTTTTCTATGAGTTTGAAGGGTCGGAGTTCACACCCTTTGAAAGATAACAATGAAGTAATTTATCGGATTTATGCTACAGGAAGTCGGATTGTTCCACAGAAGTCTCTATGTCTCCTCTGGAATCAAGCTGCTGAAAGGTTATTCTGTTAATCTGTTTAGTTTTCCAGTTTCTACCATGAACACGTATATTTGCCTAAATTGTGATAACTCCGATTAGATAATTTCCAAGTATAAAATTGATCCATTTACTATTTGTCTTTTTTCCTTGATTTTTCTGACCTCTGTACCGGCACATAAAACTTTCTGTATAATAAAATTCTTAGTTGTTCTAGCTCAGACATTTCTCAGACTTCTACTCCTGACTTTTTTCACCAAAATACTGTTTAGATTATGTAATGATGTGTTAGATAATGCCTAACAAAACAAGGCCATAAATCCCAGAAATGCATCACTTCATTAATATTAATGACTTTGTGCTCTTCACAATTGTTATCAGAGAACACTTCAAGTCCATTCTTACAGAAGTAAAGAATTACACCTGCATCTCTGGTATTGCTTCAAGTCACCAGCTGAGAATGTTCCTAACTTGCTAATAGCCACTCTTTTCTTTGGGTCTATGAAAGACACTGTGTAAGTGAACCAAAAAACCCCCAACTGTTAAGGGGCAGAATAGGGATTTATGTGGACCTGTATCCCGTCTCCAGTAGTGACTAAAAGTAAATGCCCAGGGAAGAGTAAGATCAGAACAAGCAGAATAGTAGTTCGCCTAATACTATACCCTCTAGTGACTCTATGAGCTGAATGTGATTTTGTGTATTTCATACCTCAAATGATTTGTCTACCACAAACTTATCTAGTCTTTCCTTGCATCATCCCGAATTTCAGCACATCTTTTGACAAGGAACTCTATAGGGCATCATTTTTTTTTTTTTGATTATTTTTAATATTGTTCCTACTAGCTTAAGTTGATGTCTCCTGGTTTTTAGAAGAAATGGTGAACTGCTGATCATTTTCCATTCTTGTTGCTACTCATACCATTTAAAACCATGGAATAAAGTTTTCTGTGTATACTCTTCAATGCTCCATTATTTGATTAGCCTGTCTTTCCTGTTCACACAGTAGAAATGAATTTGAAGAGAACTATGTTCTGTATCCTGCTGAGATCTAGTTGGTTTAGACATTACTTCATTAGACTGACTGGATTATATCAGTCTGTCATTGATATAAACTATTTCTCTTCAGAAAGGAGATGCAGCAGAATTTACCTGTCTGCTCTCCTTTTATCTAGACACTATATCACAGAGCAGACGTGATTTCCACTAGAAATGGCTTAAGATGTCACTTGTAGTATCCTTTTTCAAAATCAGTTCAGCAATACTGAAAGAAAATAAAACATTAATTTTAGTTTCAAACCAACAAATAACAGTATCAAATGAAGTGTTCATAATGGGGTAAAGTATTGTGCAAATTAAGTAACAAGCTATTTGAAAAGTGTGACAGACCTGTAAAGCTTGCAAAAGTTTTAAAAACATGGCCACAAAAATTCTCTAGTGAAAAAAATGTTCATTATTATAGATTTACAATTTTGTTAATTATAAAAGTAAAAAAAAGGTGATAAATAGTGTTTTAATTTCATGTAAATGTGCTATTCTGAGACCTTCACCTGAATGATTATACAAAACACCTATACAATAGTTTAGAAAGCTTGATATTTCAGAGATACAACAACAATTTTCAAGCCTCCTTACCATGTAAATTACACAAGTCCATTTCCAACTTTGTGAATCTTTTGTTTTGCAGCTGGCTGTCTGATAGCGGGTTCTGCAAAGTGGTTGATGACACGTCAGACTATGTGGAATGCTCTTGTTCTCACATGTCCATTTATGCAGTTTATGCCCAAACAGATAACTTGTCTTCATACAATGAGGCTTTTTTCTCTTCTGGATTCATCTGCATTTCGGGTTAGTTGATTTAAGAGTTTTCTCTTACTGATGGCCAGTAAGACTGATCGATTTTTGACATATTTAGTAACTGATGACAAATTTTTTATTTGGAGGGGTATTAAAGGAGTGTTAATTAACTTAATGATATTAAAGTTACCATCTGATCTGGTATTTGCACACTGACAAATTTTGCCACTGAAAAAAACATGTCCAGCAAAACAATATATTTCCTTATCATGTTTTATTGAACCGTACAAGAGAGAAATATGTCATTCATTTAAGGGGAAGAAACTTAAAATCCTAGATTCGCCTGCATCTCTAGCAGCAGTTCAGTTGTCCTCTTTGTCAGATCTTTTGGACATTTCTCTATGTAGCCAGAAAGATATTTGACCATTTACACTCAGAAGTGATAACTTGAGGGAGATAGATTCCACATCACCCATGTAGAATTCCATTACACTCTGCTGCCTAACTGCTACCTGCTATCTTGGGAGAAGCCCAAGGATTTAACCTATGAGGATCATGACTCACTTCATTGACAACTACGATAGCATTTGCAGAAGCTGCAGAACGTCAGGCAAGAAGTAGGAGATGTAAGTTTTAAACTCCGCTTGGCTTCTTAAGGAGATTGAAATTACATCTTTCACATTGCAGTCAGTTCACTATTACGTTGCAGGCAATCCCAGATGAAAGTAAATTTTTCTTTTTGTGTTCATAGGCACTGTGCAAGCAGGAACCTAAGAGTAACAGGGTCACTAAAGAAACATGCTAATGGGATTCTTAGTCTAAAGGCAATCTTAGTCTAACCTTGAGGCACTTAAATGGGGTTCTGGGTCTGCTCCTTCTGAGGTTTATGACTTCTATACGAGATCGTCACTGTCTGAGTAACAAAAACAGTGCAAGCAAATAAATCCCCTATTTATCCTCTCCCAGCAAACTCCCCTAATGGACTAAAGCTAGGATCCTTAACTGTTTTAAAACCTCAGCCATACAAAGTAGACAAAGAACGAATAAAACCCTCTGGTTTTCACCTCCTTCATAGAAATTGATTGTTTTATTTGACAATAATGGAAGAATTTTTAGCAGATAAAAATAAGCAGATTTTAAAATACAGTTAAGCTTCTAACTTAGGTTGTGTTACTGAAAGTAAAAAAAAAAAGACAAACTATGATAAACAAATGTAATTACTGGTTTACAGAAAAAAAAAAAAAGTAAATTGATGAGACAGATATGCCATAGAATGCAAAATGCTATAGAAACTGAAGGAAAAAACAATACAAAGTAAGCCAATATACTGTAGAAGCTGAAGCTAAGAGAAATATTTTGCTGAACTGGAAACAATAAAGACCTACAGATCCTTGTTCAGCACTAGTCTTTTATTGTAGTCATGTGTCATAAGAATGTATTTTAAAAATTAGAATAGTTTAGCCTGGTTAAGGGTTTGCCTTGAATATAACTACGATGTCTTTCAGCTTCTTTGGCTGCTTGAGGGTATTTTCTTATGTGATTATATATGTTTAAATCTAGTGATTAACAAATTGCTTCAGATTTAAGAGCTATAAGGATATTATTTATTTCTCTAAAATCTCCATCTAGATGTGAAGAATTTAAAAGAAAAAAAGAAAAAAAGAAAAAATAACCTCACAGCGCAAAATAGAGTATTATTATTTCTGAAGTTTTCTTATGGATATAGTCGTATAAGTATCACTTGCTAATTTTTGAAAGGTTTAGAAAAAATAATTTCTGCAATGATTTATTTCATTGATATCTTACAAGTAACTTGTAGTTGAGCAACTAATCTGTTTCAAGATAGAATAAGAGATCTGCCTTAAGTATCCAAATTCCTGCTCTTCCTGGGGTGTGGAAGTGCACAAACAATTAACTCTACATGAGCTTTAGCAGTGTTTTCCTTAGTGGCTCAGCTTTCCCAGGGTCCTTCTTCAAAGAACTGCTTACTGGTAGGTGAGGGGCCCTTCCCATTTCTGTTCTGTTCATGTTCACAATGAATTAGTGAAATGAAAAGTGGTGTTATTCTTTCTGAATGCTGCTGTAATAGATTTCTACACTGAAAACAGATGAGGTGGGAGACTGGCATTTAGAAGGTTATATCTATCTCCTAAAGCAATGCTACCCAGCTGGTGACAATTTTTTATTTATTTGTTTCTAAAGGCATTTTTGGATGCAGTAATACGAGCACTGAAGAGTTAGCATTGCTTTATGTTTGACTGTTATAACAATCATCCATATCACGAAGAAATTTCAAAAAAAGCTTTGCAAAAATGACTTGTTTACATTATGCAATTATTTTAGCTCCCAAACCTATGAAAAAGTTAAGTAGATGTTAGTACTTGAGTAATAAATTCAAGAGTGATCCCAGTGTGAACCAAAGTGAACATATTGTCTCTGTAAGATTTGGGCTTCTTTTTTTGTTTTGTTTTTTAATGATCTGCACCGTAAAGAGATCCAGCATTGTTGTTCTTATCTAGCACATTTTATTAGACTAAGCTTTAAATTTCCTTTTTGTTTTGTTTTGGTTTTGTTTCTGTGTAGGTTTCACTTTGGCTATTATCTCCCACCTTTTCTGCACCAGGTGTGCAATGTTTGCAGCTAAACTTCTCACTCACATGATGGTTGCTTGTTTGGGTACTCAGGTAAGAAAAAAGGTTGAAGTCTCTAAATGTAAATGAAGTACATCTTTCCTTTCCTTTCCTCACTTCCTTGGCCATGTCTGAACAGACCTCGTTTTCTTCTCCACAGTGTAAACATTTTTGGAAGATGTAAAATTTAAACATATGTAACTTATAATTAATCCAATATTCATATCCTATGTTGGGAATTGAATTGCAATTATATATTTTCTGAAAATATTTAGAGAAAACTTATGGATGATATAGCCACATGAGAAGATAGTCCTGTATGTGGAATAATAAATGTTTTGATGATGGGCTGTGTGATTGAGGCAAAAGAGTTCCATCATTACCATAATTATTTATTAAATAGATTAGTGTCAGTAATCATAAGTTCTGTGGGAAAGGTTTATTTTGAGTAGTAGATGATGAAAGCTCTTTTGCACTCTAATATTTATAGGAAGGTATAGTTATGAAAAATTTAAATAATAAAAGAGAATAAACTGTAGAAAGTCTTCCTAGTTCTCTCATAGTAGTTCAAATAGTAGGTAATAGAATATCAGCAAACTGAAGGAGCACATAAAAGGAGAATATATCTTTCTGTCTTGTAAAATATAACTTCCTCAGCTTTGGTACATCTGGTGGAATTGACAGCTATGAATAACTTCAAGTATTTTAAAATTACTTTATGGAAAGGAGATTTAAGAAGGAGATTTTTATATATATATTTAATGCTATAAAGATAATATAAATACAAATTTAAATATATGCTGAAGGCAGAGATACTGAGAGAATGTAGGCATATTAACAGGTAGGTACTTAGAGGAATGTGTCATGTCGGGGAAATACTCTGTAGATCATTGAGATAGCTCTATGTTACCTGGAAAAGTTTAGCAACTGACATATCTCTCAGACAAGCTTTTGTATACTGCCATGGTTAGTATATAATTTTATTCCTGTTACCTCATGATACAGTTCTTTGTTGTACAATGGAGTGCATTGATAATGTTCATTACACAACTGAACTTAAAATAGAAGGAGCGGGAAAGGTCTCTACAGCCATTCTAGACATCACTGGATACCAGCAGGTTTCTTGCATCTTAGGGCATAAGAGTATTTTGACATCTCAGTTCTTGATTTTTGAAACACATACTTACTGTTTTTTGATAGTTCTGTGTCATTACATGGAAAGCTAGTTTGTTCCAGAGACCTGTACTGTACACAGTTACTAGCATACAAATGTGCAGACTTAATTTGGGACACATAGCTCATAACACAGGTAAGGACTAGCATGTGGAAATGTGTCGAGATTATAAAAAACAAGACTACTGAGAGCTTTGCAGCTCATTTTACAGCCTAATGACAGATTTTGCAAAAGCTTCTTCTACTTTTCCTTTGCAGTGACTGTTGAATTCTTTGTGTTCCCAAAATTGTTTGATATTTTGTGTATAATGGAACTATCCTTGTCCATGTTACATTCTTTCTATCTCCAATACTTTTCCATTTCTTTGGCAATATGTTGCATTTGCAGTACAGAGAAGCTTGTTTCTTTTTACAGTGAGTTTCTTTTTCACAGAAGTCTCTTGGGTTTTTTTCTATAAGGACTCCGTACTAGGTCTTTTGGACCCATTAAAACATTTTAATTTAACAAAGAATCACACAGAATGATTGAGATAGGAAGGCGTCTCTTGATGTCATCTTGTCCAGCCCCCGTTCTCAAGCAGGGATACTTAGAGCTGGTTGCCCAGGAAGCATATCCAGATGGCTTTGGAATATTCCTGAAGATGGAGACTCCACAAGCTCTGTGGGCAACCTGTTCCAGTGCTTGGTCACCCTCACAGTAAAAAAAAAAGTGTTTCCTGGTGTTCAGAGGGAAGCTCCTGTGCTTTAGTTTGTGCCTGTTGCCTCTGGTCGAATCACTGGGCATCACTGAACAGAGCCTCGCTCTGTCCTCTATGCATCCTCCCTGCACGTATTTATATATTTTGATAAAATCCCTCTGAGCCTTCCCTTCTCCAGTTTGTACAGTCCCAGGTCTCTCAACTTTTCCTCATAGGAGAGGTGCTCCATCCTTTACTTATCTTGGTGGCCCTTCACTGGACTCTGTCCAGTCTGTCTATGTCTCTCCTGTACTGGGGAGCCCAGAACCGGACGCAGTACTCCAGGTGTGGCCTCCCCAGCACTGAGTAGAGGGGAAGGATCACCTTCTTCGACCTGCTGGCAATGCTTTGTGTAATGCAGCCTGGGATACCATCAGCCTTCTTTTCTACAAGAGCACATGGCTGGTTCATGTTCAATTTGACATCCACAAGCATGCCCAGGGCATTTTCTGCCAAGCTATTTTTTCAGCTGGGTGGCCTCTGGAATATAATGGTGCATTCATTCAAGCAAAGTTAGTTTTGCTATTTTGACACTGATTACACAGTTAAAATCATAGAATCATTTAAGTTGGAAAGACCCTTAAGATCATTGAGTCCAACCGTTAACCTGACACTGCCAAGTTCACCACTAAACCATGTCCCTAAACGCCAGATCAGCACATCTCTTAAATACCTCCAGGGATGGTGACTCAACATTTCTCTTAAGTCTGTTACATACATTTAGACCTGTTGAGTAATTTTGGTTGGAAACCACATGTGAAAACTTTCTGGTTTAAACTCCTGCTCAAAGCAAGCCCAGCTTAGATCAGGTGGCTCAGGACCCTGTCTCATTGAATTCTGAGTATCTTCAGCAGTGGAGATCCCACAAGTTCTCTGGGCAACCTGGTCCAGTGTTTGACTACCCATTGTGGAAATTGTCTCCCAATATCTAGTTTAAATTTAATTTTTTGCAACTTGTGTCCATTGTCTCTCATGCTGTCAGTATGCATCTGCAAGAAAAGTTTGGTTTTCTCATATCTAGGCATTTCCATGAGGTAATTTATAAGAATGATAAGATTTCTTGCTCCCACACTCTTAAAACTGAAGAGCCCCAGGTCTTCTGTGTATTTTGTGGTCTGAATATCTTGGTGGACCTTACCTGAACTTGCTCTGGCTTGTCAGTCTCCTTCCTGTAGTGGAGATCCCAACTGTATCCAGATGTGGTCACACAAGTGCTGATGGTCTGAATATCTTGGTTGACCTTAACTGAGCTTGCTCTGGCTTGTCAGTCTCCTTACTGTAGTGGAGATCCCAGCTGTATCCAGATGTGGTCACACAAGTGCTGGAATAGAAGGGAAGAATCACTTCCCTTTATCTTTTGCTAGTGTAAGTCAAACAGCAATACTGGGCTGCTTTGCAACAAGGCATCCTGCTAAGTCATGGTCAACTTGACATGCACCAGAACCTCAGATCTTTTTCTGCAGGTCTACTGCACTGCTGTTTGGCCTCAGCCTGTGCTGTTGCATGGTGTTACTCCGTCACCAGCAGTATGACTTTGCATTTGCCTTTGTTGAGCTTTGTCAGAAGTTAGCCCATTTTTCCAGCCTGTTGAGTTTCCTTTAAACAATAGCCTTACGGATCACCTGCACCCAGATTTTTAGGTCCTCTTCAAACGTCCAGTATGGCCCTCTGCCCATCATCTATGCCCAGATGTTTTAAATAGTGTCAGCCACTGTATCTCGACTCCTGAGAATTCCCACTGCTAACCAGGCTCCATCTGGACTTCATACTGTTGATCACAGCCCCTTGAACCTCATGGTGCGGGCAATTTTCCATTCACTTTATAATCCATCTAACCAAAGTATGTCTCAGCATTTTAATGATAATACTGTGAAAACCACAGAAACCATGTCAAAAGCCTTGCTAAAGTTAAGGAAAACAACATTTGCTGCCTTGCCTGAGCTGGTCCTCTCCTTATGGAAGGAGATTGGGTTAGTCAGGCATGATTTTCCCTTCATAAATCTAAGATGGCTGTTCCCAGCTGCCCTTATGTCCTTGCCCTAGGTACAGCTTCCAGCAGGATTTATGCTGTAACTGACCTGGGGACTGCAGTCAGGCTGGTTGGTGTGTAGTATAGAGGTATTTTTTCTGGGAATGTAATCATTCGTCTCTATACCTAAAAGTCAATCAGAAGGAAGGACAAATAAAAATAAATTGATGCCTCACCTGTACAAGAAACATCTTTAAACATGGTATTAAAGGCTTGTTTTCATAACTATCTATATCTTAAGTGAAGAGTTGAGGCCTAAGTGCATGTTCAAAGCTCTCAAAACCCCCAAATAGGTCATATGTTAAATAGTATCCCAAATCAGAATTTTTTGCACTTTGAGGGATTATTTGTGTCACCTGCCTTGGTTCTCAGTTTCGGTCTAGTTATTTCATAAGATACCTCCATCATCCTTAGAGTTACTTAGCTGCAGTAGTAGTTAGTGAACTTACTTATTTCTGAAGATACCCTGAACATGACTTCCCTGATTTACTGGTAGATTTTTAATTCCAGGTCTTAACAAGCTGCTAAACTCTTGTTCCTCCGTTCTCAGGTCAGTGCTGCAGCTGCTTTGCTGTGAAATGAACATCACGCTGTCACACACACACTTGCCCAAGCAGGTACAGCTATGGGAAACATTTCACTTGAACAGCATATTCAACTGAAATTCAGTTTTCATGAAAGTAGTCTAAGTCAACTTCTCTCCAAAATATGTATGGAAGAACCTAAACAAGGGCATTTTTAAAGCTTGACCTAAATGGGAACTAAAATAAAAAGTTGCTGCATTTTCTGTTAAATGCAGTTTTATTTAAATTAAACATATCACTTTTAAATTTTCATATACTGATGCGCAAGCATATTGTCAGTAGTATACCTAGCAGTTCTTACCTGCTGATAATTCCAGGTTTCAGACAGTAACACTATTGTAATCTCATGGGTTTCTTCTTGAGGCTGGACAGGAACATGGGCATGGGCATGGGCATGACTGGCGACCAGCTTAGGTAGAGACTAATGGCCTAGGGATGAGTTTAAATAGAGCTGCTGGGCCTTGGAGCAGAGGGTGTAGGTGGAGATTCCAGTTGGGACTGGTCAGGACCATTAAGGTATATTAGTGCACT